ATTTGTCTTTCTCTGACTTATTTCATTTAGCATAATATCTTCTAGGTCCATCCATGTTGTCACAAATGGCAAGATTTCCTTTTTTATGGCTGAATGATATTCCGTGGTTTGTATGTGTGTGTGTGTGTGTGTGTGTGTGTGTGTGTGTGTGTTCATCTGTACTCATTCATCTTTTGATAGACATTTAGGTTAACTTGACTTTATTTTGATTACAGTAGACATTTAACTAGTATTGATAAAGAATTTAACTTTTTGAAATGCCCTTCTCTCCCTTTGTATTACAGCCAGTGCCTCTGACAGTTAGTATAGAACATTGAACCAAAACTGACCTAATTTCCAATGGCTGCTTCCCCTGTATCTTCTCCTGACAGGTGGAGACCAACTTTTCTTACAGAAAGGAACCTAATAACCATCAAATTGTCCTCAAGTTCTTTCACACTTTATTTAAGAGGTCAGGTGACAGTAGCACAGAGAAAAACATGGAAGTTTTATGTCAGCCAAGCTAGAGAGGACAGCCCTTTTTGAGGACTTTTAAAGTTCTACCTGTATATCAGGAAAATTTTTGAGATGTTTTAACCTGGAGTCTGAAGTATAATGGGGCACCACCCTTGGAAATTTTTTTTTATGGTGAAGTTTGCAATGATGCAATCTAGTTAAAAACAAACTGGAATGATCAAAGTGAGCAGCTGTAATTGTTGGAAAGCCCTGGTATATAGAATGTGGGAAACAGTTTATGTAAGCTGATGAACCACTGTACTTCCTGCATTTGTCAATGCAGTATGTTCAAAGCAACACACAGGGTCCTCAAGGACTTTGTATATGTGACTATATATATATATATATACTAAGCAGCCTGAAGGACTAATGTACCTTATTCGGAGCCTTGCACCTTCTGACATCAACTGACCTCCTACTCAGATTCCACTGTAGCGAGCTCACTGAGGTACACTTTTCACTCTGAAATACAAAACTGTGTTCAAACAAGCCTGAGGCAAAGACAAATATGCTCCAAAAATATGATGCACCTCATCATTTCCCATGCTGATCCCTTTTCTATAAAAACAGCTACCATACATTTGCCCATAAACTATGCCATCTCCATGAAATGTCATGCCACTCCTGTCCAACTTCTGTCTCTAAACTGTTTCAGCTTTTGGAGTCTTCTAACTCCTTATCTAGTACCGATGAAATAAAGCATATCCTCTAGGTTTTAGAAGAATACTTCCACTCTTTTCTCCCATTTCTTTTATAGCCAAATATCTTGGACAGGTTCTCTTATCACTGCATTGCATCTCCTATTTGTCCTTCAGTATCCATCAATTTATCTTTCCTCACAAATGTTTTACTGAGTTGGCTCTTCCTAATTTCACACATGAGTTCCATGTTACTAAGTCAAATATTTTTCTATATTCAGTTCCTTTTTCTTGTCTTGATTTTGGAAGACATTTACTCATCTATTTATTCTACTAATATTCTACTAATCAGTTTATTCTACTAATAGTTTTAAACCCCTGCCTTCCATAAACAGTATTCTAAGCAATGGGAATAAAACAATGACCAATAAAGATATGGTTAGTATTCTCATGAATCATGTATTTTAGTGTAGGAAACATACTAGACAAATGATCATAAAATTAGGTTTAATTAAAATCCAAGTTTATTCGCCTAAAGGAAAGAAACTCAGTTCTATAAAAAAGGAGTCTATCCCTAGGTTGCCTATGAGTTCCATGATAATGAGAGTGGTATCTATTTTAATTTGTCCCCAACATCCAGTATAGCCTTTTGTATTTGATAAGCACTTGTTTTGTTTCCTTTTTGTTTTTTTAAATGTTTAATAAGTGGTAAACAAAGTGAGTGAAGAGACAGGCTCTCATTAATGCGTTGGTAACTGCACTCCTGGTTTGATGGAAAGATTAACCCTAGAAAAGCACTGATCAGAACTCATTCATAGTGGAGTATGCAAAGACATATTTAAGCCACGCATTGGGAAAACCCGAATAAATCCATCCCCACCTTGCTCAACCTAGGCTCCTGGAACACCACGTCTCAGACAGTGTTAATTTATATCTCAAGGGTATTAAGGATAGTTATCAATGTTATGCCTATTTTAAAAGAGCTTAGTAAAATCATGGAAATAACAGAGGTTTGAGAATAAGAATATAAGGAAATTTGGAAGTGGAAAAACTATTAAAACCCTGAAATGCTTGTTGGATAACCAGGGTTAAAATCAAGCACTTGTCCATTTATCAGTGATCTAACTATTCTAGAATTTCCCCAAGTGTAAGAGAACATGAACTGAAAATTCATGAGCCAGACTATGATGAGAGGAAGGAGAAATTAGAGGACAGCTGTCATTTGATGAAATAGTTTGTCTGAAGAATCCATGGCATAGCGAAGGACTGCTTTGAGCAGAGCTGCCTTGGGAATGGAGCATTAATTTGGAATGTGGCATGTTCCACAAGAAATGATGGCACTGGTACTGAAGGAGCCATAATAAGCAGTTCCTTAGAGAACACATAATTTATGAAAATGTTACATTCTGCAAGTGCCTCCTACCCCCATTCAACATTAATCATCCCAACCTTCCTGTCATTGTGTAGGTAACAGCCACCAATCCTGGATCACACACATTCATAAGAGAGTGTCACACCTTGTCTCATCAACATGATACAAGAGAATATAAAAATTATGATTTTATCAAGTTTATAAAATATGTATTTTTTCAGAGTGTAGAGAGACAAAACAATAAACTAACTTGTTTGTTAACTGTTAACTTATCATTTAAAGTTTAATTTCTTAAAATTGAAAAAGTTTCAACTACTATTATACAATATTCTGTTTCTCTACAATAATATCCAGGCCATAGAAAGAAGATTCTATATTAGGAAAGAGTAATGTTTTTTTGCCCTAATGTATACAGTGTACTAGGTACTTTTGTATTAATTCAGTTTTTATTTTATCATTTCTATATCCTTCAAGTACACAACTGTAAGTATTATTTCATATTACACATGCCTTATGGCATAGAAATAAAATTTAGATGTTTAGAATAAATTTAAAATGGGGTTTATTTTGGTGTTTTGAGACTCAGTTTCTAACATGGGAGAGTCACCCCACACCAACAAACAATTCTCATACACCATTAGGGTGTCCACTAATTCATTCACTTCTGACACTATCTGCCTAGAAGTAGCATCAGATTCCACAGGTTAAAGGTTCAGTCCTGCAAGCCTCAAGAATATAACTCAAGAAAAGCCCCATGAAAGGGACGCACAGGACTAGGTATGGAGAAAGGGCTGAACTTCCATGCCCTCTCCAGAGGCAACACTATTTCTCAATCTCCAGCTCTCCGAACCCAGTCCTTTGGGTTTTTATGAAGGCTTCATTACTTACACATGCACGATTAAGTCACTGGCCATTGGTGACTGAGTCCTCCTCTAGCCCCACACTCCTCTACCCTCCCTGGAAGTCAGAGGGCAGGGATGAAAGTTCCAAAACTCGAATCACATGGTTACCTCCATTGGTGACCAGCCTCCATCTTTGGACAGCTTTCCAAAGTCACTTCATTAACATAAGAAAAGACTATTTTTATCACTCTCTACACTTAGAAAATTCCAAATTTCAGGAGTGTGAGCCAGGAATTGTGGATGAAGATGAAAGATATATATTTGGATGTATGAAAAAACATATGTATTCCTTATAATCACAATATCACAGGTCCAGAGTTAACAACTTATTTATCAAAATAAAACCCAAAATGGTTTCTTAAAACCAAATAAAAGAGGTAAATTATACCATTTGACAAGTTTACTGTTTTCACTGACCACTCCCCCACCACTTAACATTACCTCCTTGCCATACATTGCTTTTCTTATAAATGGATTGACAAGTTTAAAAACTGATGAAAACTTACTACAAACTCAGCTATCTTCTACTCAGGACTTGAGTTCAACTGTGAAGATGCTATATTTGAAATTGTTTTTATTTGAAGTATGGGTCTTCAAAAAATTAAATATGAGAGAACTGATAGTAAAATAACAGGTTTTATTTTTGGGGGTCCCAGTTGATGTGTAAGTGTGTGTGTGCATGTGTGTGTGTGTGTGTGTGTGTGCACAGTTGCGTGCACTCAGGTGGGGTAAGAGAAGCACGTTAAAAGTACATAATATTCTATAACTGAAATTCGAAAATTAATTACAGAATATAAGACAGAGATTTTTAGGAGATTTTGAGAACCTGATACACTAGAAGTGTGTATATTCCGCCACATCTTGCAATTCAAAACCTAGGGAAGTTCCATGGCTTATTGGTTGTATCATCCAATTTAGAGAACTCACTGACCCAGGAGTTGAGAGTTTCTTTAAATCCTATCCCATAATTTATGTCAGTCCAGAATAAATGTTTTTAACCTATAATTATGTATTGCTTTGAAACATGGGAATGGTAACTGTTTCTAAAGCACAAGCATTTCATTATTTAGATACCAAAGTAAAATTCCATAATATCATCATCACATTCTTTCAGATGATCTGTATTCACATGTGAATCAAAATGACTAAAATAGAATTCCTGTGTTAACCTACAGTGTGGTAAACAAAAATTAACTGACATGTTTATTTCTAAAGAATGACTAAAGTGAGGGTAAAAAAGTATTATTTAATTTAGTTCATTTTATTCACTTTTTTCCCTACCATCATGAATGAAGATTGGCCTTGAAATAAATCAAACATGTAAAACATTTTTCTTAAATGTTTTAGCAGAGTGTTAATATCTTCAGAAACAACTGTTAAAGATATTTTGTTAGTTTACAGTTTAAACAATCATTCTTGAACAACTCATTTTAGTTATTGTCTGGAAGATTCATTATTATGGCCATTTGCATGGACTTCTGCCATTGTTTCAGGTTTCTCTGCATATAAACAAAAGTCCTTTGTGCTGGGACTCCTTCAGTTTAGAAGGCAAAACCCACAAAGTCAAATATTCCACATACTTATGTGCCTTACCTCATTAGAAGCCTGAATTCAAGAAAGTGCTCCTCAGCTTTAACTGGAAGCCAGGGGCATAAAGTGAGTCACACAGCATCCATTCCGGGGCAGCATCCATTCTGAGACAGTCACGGGGCAGATGCATCCTTTCTGCTTCATGTAAGAGTGGAGCAGTTCTTGACACACCTCCTGGAATCCAGAAGCATATGTCATTGGTGGTGTCATCGGTGGTACTGTTGTCCGACTCCAGCTGTAAGATCAGTCCTGGGGTGTAATCAAATTGGTAAGTGTTTCTTACCTATGAAATCTGGGAAATGTTCCAGATTCCAAATAGAAAGTCTGATTTTGAAACATTTATTGAAAGCATAATATTCCTAACTAGCATACACATGGATCCTACATTTTGCCATTTTAAATCCGGGCTCTCTAGATCTCTAGAGATTCTTGTGACCATCCACACAATTCTTTTTGTAACTCTTAAAAACTACTCTTCTGCTCATCTTAGCTACAGTTGGTTACTGTCTTGGTTATCAACAGCCCTGCCCAATATATTTGTGATTAAGAGAGCAAGTAAAAAAGAGGTTGAGAGAGAGAGAGAATGAGAATAAAGGTACAACATTAGAGATACTTCTAAACTGTCTCTTGCTCTTTTTTATTTTTTGCATGACCCCACAGAATGTTAATGTTTGTGTTGTAGACAAGGACTTGGACAAAGCTGCTTATATCTGAGAGTGACAGATCTTGGGAGTTCATCACATTACCTAAGGGCTGATGAGATAAATAACTCAGTGCCTCTGTAACCTTTCATTGAGAGCACATTATTACAATTTTATCCTTTATCTCTTATTTTTGCTTGTTGAATAATGAAAAATAAAGTCTGCAAAATACACTTGCTTATGCAAAATTTAAACAGCATTGTAAAGAAAACTATAAGGAACATTTGGTTGAGAAAGCAACACACACACACACACACACACACACACACATGCATGCACATGAACTCCAGGGAGGCCATTTTATTGATATTTATTCAATTAAAGAGATTAACATTAAGCACTCCCTTGTGACCTTTAACTACTTAAGGCTACCCCATTAGAACCCTTAATCTAAAATGCACAATATGAAGAATTTAGAGAACTCTAGATCCAGTTAAAGTAATATAAGCTACTACAGTTTCACTAAGGGATTGTTAAAAACCTATGAAATCTGGGAAATGTTCCAGATTCCAACTAGAAAGTCTGATTTTGAAACATTTATTGAAAGCATAATATTCCCAACTAGCATGCAAATGGATCCTACATAGAAGATTTGTTTAAAGTGTTTGATCAGTGTATTCTCAGAATATAATCCCTGGAAAACCTCTGGTTTGGGGTTTTCTTCGCATAAACAAAAGACATTTTGGGGGATGACAATAAGATAAATGTCTACATAAGTCAGGCAAGTCACTAATTGGCAGAAGTCAATATACTTACTGTGAATATTAAACTAAAGGATGTCCCAGCAAGTCGTCTAAAAACTCAACTTCAGTTTCCTCTTTTTGAAGTAGGAATCATAACAGTGCCTACATATATAAGTTATCTATTGCGGCGCAACAAAGTACCCCAAAATTTAGTGGCCTAAGACAGCATTTATTATCTCAGAGTTCCTGTGGGTGGGGAATCCGGGTATGGCTCAGCTGGATCCTCTCTCCTCTGGCTATGGTTTCTTTCACGGATGCTATCAAGGTACATTTACTGAAGAAGGTTCGGGTTCTGAGGTGGCTTATGTGGTTGTTAATACAATTCAGTTCCTCTGGATTATAGGACTGAGAGCCTCAGTTTCTCCTTGCCTATTGGCCAGAGGCTACCCTCAGTTTCCCACCATATAGGTAGGTCCCTGCTCAGTGTAGTTCACAACATGGCAGATAGTTTCTCTCAAACAAGTGAATGAGAACAGGAAAGAAGTCACAGTCTTAGGTTACCTAATCTTGGAACAAATATTTGGTCACTTTTGCTGTATTTTATTTGTTATAATTGAGTCCCCAGTCCAGTATGCACTCAAGGATTGGGAATCACACAAGACAGTGAGCATCAGGAGGTGGAGATGACTGGGGGGTCCTCTGAGAGACCGCCTCCCACACTGCTTTCTGGGGCATCATGGAAGAGCATACCTGATGTTGCCAAGTCTCGTTACTGATGTTAAACTTTATCACTTGGTTAAGATCAGATCTGCCAAGTTTCTCCACTGAAAAATTAACTAGCATGTATTTTGTATTCATTACTCACTGAGTAATTCATTATTTTATGTGGAGACAGTGTAAGGTAGAACTTTTCTTCTACTGAATTTATTTAGGGATTCATTATTTATTTATTTATAGAAATATGGGTTTACAGTTTCCTACTATCTTAAAGGGTTTGAAATTGACAGCTAACATTTTATTTTCATTTTTAATTTGTCCCACACTTGGAAGAGCCCATTCAAAATGGCTCCATTACCATTTGGATGTGTGTTCATCATTTTTTGAGCAGTTCCTTACTTTCTGGTACCAAAACAAGTCCCAAGATTACCTTGCACTTGACATACACCAGCAACAGAGTCAGATGTTTCTCCAGTGAACTACTGTTACTTTTAGGAAAGAATGGGATTTAGAAAAAAATAAAAAATAATTGAGTCCCCAAATGGAAGTGAAGATACTTCAGAGGTGCTCAAAGCAACCATCAGAATGTGGGGAGATAGTGTTAGACCCTATATTTATTTTAAATTATTCTTAAAAATGTTCTGCTTTTAGTGTATTATTTCTAATGTACATATTATTAATGCATGATGCATGTATATGAAGGTCAAACAAACAAAACATGTATTGAAGAACATGCTAAAAATTTTCCTGATTTGAGTTTTTACTGAAAAAATACTGTGGAACACTGCCTCTGAGTACAGCAGTGATGCTTTCAGTTAAGAAAAAACTTAGGCATGATGTCACCCACCCAAATAACAGAAAAAAGTCTTTCCCAGTTAGTAGCTAACAAACACTATCTTCTAAAGTGCTGACCAGGGAAAATTAGCAACTAGATCTACACTCTTCAGTTAGAGGGTCTGTATATAGCCTGTCAACACAGCAGATGGAAACAAAAAATGTGCTCTACTGGATTTTTACTTCATCATCAACTCCTTCTTTAGGGCTATCCTAGAAGAACTGCTACCTTCTCATACTCCAAGCCTATTGATAATTGATCTTGTCTTGGGATAACTTCTGACAACCTTTCCTAACTAATCCCCAACTGCATGCTATTTATATATTGCAACTGAGGACATCTATTTTGGTGTCATCAGGACCAAACACAGGGTCAGTGAATTTCTAGAAAGATTCACAGGGCTCAAAGGCAGTTGTACTCACAACTATGGTTTCTAACAGCAGTCAGCAAGGGAAAGACGTCTTAGGTAGAATCTGGAGGAATGAAAGCACAAGTTTCCTACATTCTCCTTCTTCCCATAGCAAAAGGGAGCAGCACTTGCGCAATGTTTCTGCCCTTGCAGGACACTTAAAATTCCAAAGTTTATATGATAGGCTAGTAATACAGACATACTCCGCCTTTATGATCAGCTATAATCATAGAATCCCACACTCTTGGAAGGAAAGTACGTGCTCACATTGATCACCTTGTTTGTACATAGTCAGGACAGGCTGGACAACAGAATTCACTGTCCCAGTCACACAGAACAACCTATCACTCAGAGAACATTTCAAAGGCCAGCACTGGGTCAGCCCTGAAAACGGGCTCTTCTAATCAGCCCTACCATGTTAACTCTTTACTGCATACCTGCTAAGGTACTGTTATGGAAATGACTCCCTATAGCATTACACTCCTAAAGATCTGTGTTATACCATATATAAAAAAGTCTCCAGGTTTTTTAATGGATTTTAACCTTCAATTTTCTTAAGAAAAAGCCTTTAAAAATGTTCTAGAGAGAACAATAAAGCTAGATGTATCCATGAGGAGAACTTATCATGGCCCAATGAAAGACTATAAAATGACATTTGATTTTACAACTCAATAGTAAAAAAAAAAACCTGATTTAAATAATGGGCAGAGGATATGAACAGACATTTTTCCAAAGAAGAAATAAAGATGATCAACAGAAATTGAAAGGGTGCTCAATATTACTAATCATGAAAATGCAAATCAAAACTAGAATGAGGTATCACCTCACAACTGTTAAGATGGCTATTATCTGAAAGACAAGAAATAACAGTAAGTGTTGGTGAGGATGTGGAGAAAAGGGAAACCTTTGTGCACTGTTGGTGGGAATATAAATTGGTGCAGCCACTGAAAACAGTATGGAGAATAGTTTTTTCAGCCACTGAAAACAGTATGGAGAGTAGCCACTGAAAATAGTTTTTTTGGTGCAAAAACTAAAAACAGAACTATCAATCCAGCATTTCCACTATCCAAAGGAAGTGGAAACACTAAGCCAAAAAAGGTATCTGCACCCACATCTTCACTGCATTGTTATTTACAAGAGCCAAGATATGGAAACAACTTGTGTCTGTAGATGAATGAATGGATAAAGAAAATATGGTATATACACACATACAATGGGATATTATTCAACCATACAAAAGACGAAAATCCTGCCATTTGTAACAACATGGATGGACCTTGAGGGTGTAACGTTAAGTGAAATAAGTCAGAAAGAGAAAGATAAATATATTTTTAGCAAATATATATAACTAGCTAACAAATAGTTATATAGTTATGATCTGAATTACATGTGAAACATAAAAAACAAAACAACAAAATCCCCAAACTCATAAATACAGAAAACAGATTGGTGGTTGTCAGAGGTGGGAAATTGGGGTGAGCAAAATGGGTGAAAGGAATCAAAAAGTACAAACTTTCAGTTATATAATAAATAAGTTCTGGGATATAATGTACAGTATAGTGACTATGGTTAATAATACTGTATTATATATTTGAAAATTGCTAAGAGATTAAGTCTTAAAAGATCTCTCATCAGAAGAAAAATTTTGTAACCACGTGTGGTGATGGATGTTACCTGTTACCTAGACTTACTGTGGTGATCATTTTGAGATCTACAGATATAATGAATCATTATGTTATATATCTGAAACTAATATAATGTTACATGCCAATTATAAATCAATAAAAATGACTTGATTATTTATAACAAAGCATATGTTTACTAAGCCT